TTGCACGATCTACCACACGACGCCTCAAAACCATGTGCCAGGTTAGCCGCTATGGCTCATCGCCTGGCCGCATGGGCACGCAACCACCCACTACTTCACCACTACTTTGACTCTCCAGCAGCAATCACTCATCCTACCGCTAGTAGACTCAGTCCATACTGTTGCTCCCCCGATCCTTGGGCACAGTGAGGCTGTTCTGCGTGGCGATCTCTGCTCCCCTGATCCTTGGGCACAATGAGCCTGTTCTGCGCGGTGATCTTTGACACGAAGTCCGCACAACATTGCAGCTGAGATTAAAGAGGAGGAGAGGAAGGGGCTATGCAGATTACAGTGTAGAAGGTGGCAGGGCATCAACGGGAATTGTAGTGGACAAAACCAGCGCGAGCCCGGGAGGAGGGAGTTCCTTAGATCAAGACAGTCACAGGTTGGCTTGATGATTTGAAATTTCTTATAAATCGGGTTGATCGTCGAGCTGCATGCGAAACATCGTCCTTACAGCTCGATCGACCAACTTGAATTGGAGACGTGACCATTCACCTGCTATCCACGATCAAGGACGAGGCCAAAAAGGTTGCACGAATGCACAGAGAGAGAAAGAAAGGAAGACAGAAAGGCAAGACGTTGGCATGCATGCAGAGGCGGGCAGCTAGCTTCCATGCATACAAAAATTCAAATTGTAACGGGGCGCCGCATGCCTCGTGAATTTCAAGAAAAAAGGACTCGTTATTCCTTTGGCACAGCCATGATTAAATTGCGAGATCCTAAAGCGACAAAATGCAAGGACAAAACGAGAATGGCTATGTCATATGCAAATCCAGAGACTGACCCCCATATGATCCGTGCCAAACTGAAGGCCCATCCCCTTGTCCATAAATCAGGTTTTACCCAAAGGGCATGCATCCCTGCGAGGTATGGACCATAGTCCATCACAACGTCTCATTGAAAGAGAGCAAGCCGAGTCGATTAGATTCTTACTCACCCTGTGTTTCCTCCATTCAGCCAAAAAGGAGGTTTCACAGAGCGAATTTAACAGGTTGCAAAGGGGTGTAAATTGACAAAAATAGTTTAGCAATCTTCTATCTATCTCACGTAGACTTTAAACCACCAGTACTTCCTAAAGTCATGCCCATAAAAAAGCCACAATTTTCAGAAACGTACGGGCCACTACACGAGCGCCCAAATTCATCCGACTAGAAACATTTCTACTCATTTTTTTCGGCGGCCGATAGCTTGGCCCAGTACTTGTGGTTTAAAACCACCAGTGCTCTTCCACTTTTAGTGGGAAGAAGTGCCAGCGATATTATGTATTTGTTTTGTCAATGTCAGCCTTGGGCACTGGGCCACAACAAAAGAAAATCTACAAGCCATTATGTATTTGCTTTGTCAATGTAAGCCTTAGGCTCTGGGCTTCCGTTTCTTTGAATATATATATATATATATCGTCAAATAGAACTGCCCGGTAAACCGTAGGCAGAGAGGGAGAAGAGGACAACAAACGAGGGGCTGTGACAAACTGTTTCGTCGGAGTTTCACCGACTCATATATATATATATATATATATATATATATATCGTCAAATATATATATATATATACAAGCCTACAAGCCAAAACTTAGTACCGTCTTCACCCGAATACAATGTGCGGTCACTATCGCTGTACTTGGGGCAACTTGCAGTCTAGATACAGCAATAATGATCGTACGTTGTATTCGGGTGAAGATGGTATATAGATATAATGGGCATCAGAGTTTTCCCAGGGTTCACTAAGGAAATGGAATCTTCCCTTCAGGCCTCCGTAGCCCGGTATGCAACAAACCACATCCCTTTTTTTTTTTTCGTTCACCAACCACACACTCCCACCAGGGGCTCCATGTCAGAGGTTGGTGGCATCTTCCAGGGTCTGTCAGGGGATGGAAACCGTCATAGACTGTACATATTTCTATTCCTTTCTCTACACACCACGGAGCTGCAGGGGCACACCAGTGAATGCAAAGCCATTGCAGGCCGGCTAACTTCACCTCCGGCAGCATCACCTCCTGCGCGCCCAGAATGACTCAGATGTGGAACGGAAGCCACGTCGCCCTGAAAGAAGATAGGTTCGGGCACAACACTTCTTGCTCCATGCGTCTCCTACGTCGATTCGGGGCGAAGAGTTTTTTTTCATTTTTTCCCAACAACCTGCGCAGTCAATCCTCTGGACGACAGAGTAATCAATGCCGGCAGGCGTCTCTCTCAGTGAAAAAAAAAAAAAAAAAGATTCGGGCAGAACACTTCTTGTTCCTTGTGTCTCCTACGTTGACTTGCCGAGTATCGGCTCTGGATTGCATCTTGTGACTGATTTTCGGTCGGTGAATATTCCGTGATCAGGATGGGAGGAGGGGGGAGGAGGGGGGGGGGGGGGGGGGGGTCAACTGATTCATTGCCATGATCCCGACCTACCGTGGTCGCATCATTGTTCCACTCGTTGCATCCGGTGCGTTCTTAGAACAGGCTTGAGAGCGACTGGGTTATACCTTATTCATTACAATTGACTCTAAGATTTTCTGTCAGGTAACATTGGATGTGGATGACACAGTCAGAGAGATGTTACTTCGATAACTCCTCCTCATCTAAAAACCAGACTGAAGCTTCTGATGTGACCTCGTTGACACTAATTTTCTAGCAAATCGAAGAATGCCCGTTTCTTTGGCTGGAGACTCTTAGCAATGGGACACTGGAGCCGGTTTCCAGTAAGTGGCGCTCCCCACCAATAGATTGGAGCCATACCCATGGCAAGGCCTCAATCCAGTAGGTTATGCTACCACCACCCGGATAGGGGCCATGCACTGTGACGTTTTTCCACAAAAAAGTAAAAAAAAAAAAAAAAAAAAAAAAAAACCATATCTGGGTCCAGCTTGCTTTTCCATCAGGAAACTTTTCCCCAGTGGAAAGCCACAAAAAAGTGCAACCCACTCCAAAGGAATGGCATCCAGTAATTGTGACCTGTGGTCCTCCATCTGGTGTAAGGGCCTACTCACACAAGGGCTTTTTTCACTCCGCTCGCGCCGTAATTGCGGTCACACACATCCGTGGGGATTTGTAACTGTCGTGAGACACGCCCAGAAAAGTGCTTGTGTGAGTACGCATGCTCAAAGCCTCTTAACCTGCTTCTCAAGAACTCAAGAGGTCAACCACTGTCCTTCGTCCAGTGTCCCACAGCCGACCAATCTGCCAAATGCCTCTCTCTCTCTCTCTCTCTCTCTCTCTCTCTCTCTCTCTCTCTCTCTCTCTCTCTCTCTCTCTCTCT